TCCAGGGGGAGGAAGGAGTGGCAGGGACAGCGTGGGATGGACGGACCCCAACCCCCATTCCCCGTCCCCCTGAGCCGCTGCTGGGGGGGAGGAGGTAGGGAAATGGGGGGGGAAGTTAAGCCCAGGAAGAAGGGAGGTGTGGGGGGAAGGTGTTTTAAGATTTAGGTTTTATTTCTCATTATCTTATTCTGCTTTGATTGGTAAGTAATGAAATTTACTTTCCCCGAGTCAAATCTGGTTTGCCTGTGACAGTAACAGGTGAGTGATCTCTCCCTGTCCTTATCCAGACCCAGGAGATTTCTATTCTATTTTCTCTTCCCTGTCCAGCTGAGGAGGGGAGTGGTAGAGTGGCTTTGGTGGGCACCTGGCATCTAGCCATGGTCAACCCACCACAGCGACACAGGGTGTGTGAAGGGGGTGTGGAGGCAACAGTTAGACAGATGAGCCAATATGACAAAGTCTTATGCTTACATTGGTTAAGTCCAGTGCTACAAAAAAGGTTTCTGTGCAACTGGAACACTCAGCACTGATTTTGACTGTGGCAGCAAGTCCAGGGTTGCCCAGGACTGTCAGGCACAGTCATGCAGTTCATGCTCTTCTTTGCTCTGGCTGGAAGCCCAAGTCTGGGGTGTCTGCCACAGTCATGCCAGGTCTGTGGATGTGGCAGGACGCTCTCTGAGAAAAAGGGTTGCAAGTACGGGGGAAGACCACCATTTGAAAAACTGATGGATTTTTTTTTTCCCTGCCTCCACCCCCAGATGCACAACTGTATTTTCTGCACTCGTGCCCTCTTCATTAGCAATTTCCAACAGATTTTTCTGCTTTTTCACTCCAAGAAGGAATGCTGCTGATGTTTCAGAGCACTGTCACAATAAGAGCTTTTCTCCAAGTTGTAATAGCTCATTGACAGCCTTTTAAAATGTACACATAAAAATGTCTTTCTACATGTACATGGGGAAAAATAGAAACATAGGTCTATACATATTGTATTGCAGGTGTTACTATGAGATTTCATGTGCCTTTTTGGTGCCTAGTCCCTTAGTAGTGTAACTGCTTCAAGTATCTGTAATCACCTTTAGTTTTGACTACACTGAGTATCTTGTGTCATTAGGTTTTTATTCATCCTCTTCACTATACTTGTCCTCCTTCAGAGCTCATGGAAGCCATCTGGTCTTGGTGACGTGCTGCTAATCTTCAAAAAGAAAGCTTTAGAAATACTCTGCACTAGTGCCAACCTAAACTGGTATGTGCACATAATGACGAGCAAGCCCAATGGGAGCTCAGTCCTGCACGTCTTGTTGCCACACTGACCAGCTATGGAGTTCATTGCTGTCTGTGCAATGCCTTGCTGATCCTCATGTTCCACTCTCACACCTTGAGTTAATGTGATCAGTAGAAGTTCCTTGACACGGCCTGTGCACTGTGCTCTGCCCTGCATCAACTTCATGGGAAAGTAAGTAAAGCTCTGATTTTACCAAGACAAGACAAATGGTGGCCGTAATTTGTCATTCAGGCTCTGGCTGTCAATGGCAGAGGGTGTTTGGCAGTATCTTTTCAGTCAGGATTAATTGTAAGTGCATCTGTGGTAAATGAGGACTGCAGGAGCCTGTGGTTGCAGAGCACTAAGATGCAGGGGGCAGAGGTAAGGCACAGGAGGAAGCAGAGGACTTGGCAGAGGTAAGGTGCAGATGAGCAGTTTTCTGCCTCTGGGCATTGGTATGAATGAAGAGGGCTCTAGAAGTAGTTGAAGTACTCTTGTTTTCAGTGTGGAGTATGAAAAGCCCTCCTGAGCTGTAATGGAATTGTAGGAAAGAAACCAGAAAATGTCACAGGCTTATTCAGGCAAGTGTACTTCACTTTGCTGTTCTATAAGCAAATGTGTATATGTGTTACTATAGCACACAGAAGGATTGCTATGAGCAGTAAGTTGGCACAGGAGAATCCTAACTGCAGAAGTGCTGGTCAAATTGTGCAAGACTGTAAAAATGAATGAGGAGAAACATATGTTAAAAAGGAAGTCACGTTCAATTCTTCACATTATCCATCCCATTTACGTAAAATGCAAATAAGTGTAATCTTCCTTTGCAAAGGAACTAGATTTTGTGTTCACAGAAGAAATGTTCAAGACAGAAATGTTATTCGTGCACACTGCATGCTTTATGCTTGCGCAATGCTGATTTATGTGCTGTTACTGTAAATTTGTGGGAAATGTCGAGTGGGGCGTAACCATCAGGGTCAGACCAATAGCAATATGGGACGCGTTAATGAAGAAAATGTTTTGGTTTGTATTCCAAGAAGCAGCCCCTGTGGAATTAAAACAAAGGGCTGCAGCTGGCTTAGGAGGGGGATATCTGAACAATACAAAGGTGCTCTCCAGCTCTAGGAGGGGGCCAATGGCTGATGACAGAGTCCCTCAGCGTAGCACGCAATCAAAAACCAGTTTGGCGCCCCAAATCAGAAACACAACAAATTCAAGTTTGAATTTCAGAGTGAAAGGAATTACGCATTCTTGGAAATACGCACTCTGGGTTTTAGGGTACAGTTTGTTAACACTGCCCTGGCAGACGAAAGATTTTAAGATGATAGAGGTCCTGATTAAAGAACGCAGCGCTTAGCCTCTCTGCTCTTCCAGCAGAGAACAACATCCCTGCAAAACAATTCCGTTGCCAAAAGGTCTCTTGAAATAATATAATGTATGTAACCACAGGCTTGCAGGCAGCTGGAATTGTGCAATCTTTTCAGGCAGACTTAGAGGGTTCTCAGGGATAAATAACTGTCCTACATTAACTGTAGACCTGTCTCAGCCTATCACAGAAAACATGTTTTTACAAGATGTGACCTTAAAAGGAAGAAGTAGGAGGAGCACTGACCTACGACAGAAAGATTTGGATTGGTTTTATTATTCCTTTGGGTCACTGTGGGTTACTGAATGGAACGTGCAATATGATGCAACTCTCCTGCTTGTTTTCCAGTTGGATTACTGAGGCTGACTGGAGGGATATCTGTGTCTGAATTCAGTTATTTCACTTTCCTGCGTGGATTAGTAGCCCATTCGGATGAAGTGCTGTTCTCTGGTGTCTCAGCTCAGTCCAATGACTTAAGACTCTTGACCTGCAGAGATGCCCTTTGACAAGTGAGTACAAATTTTTCGCTTGCTATTCATGGCAAACAAAAATCCCAGGTTAGTGCTCTTGCATTCATTAACTTTTTGCTCTGCCCTGTTAAAGAATTTCACGAGTTTCTGGGTTACTCTAGGTTTGCATTTATTCACAACTCAGAGTTGGGCCATCACCTCAGTGAGTGGCAAATGAAAATCACAAGCATAATACTTCTATATCTTCCTATAATAATTGCATAGAGAGTTTCCATGGCATTCACAATTCCTCATTTGTCTGACCAGTTGAAAGTCCATTGTTTTCCACAGGTTAGCATACTTGTATTGTTCTGTCTCAGTTCTATTTCTGGATCACGAAGTCCATTGGCTCATGCATCAAAAGTCTTCTCTTGGCAGCCACCGTGAATGCAAGGCAAAAGCATAAGAACTTAACCCCTCCTCTATTTGTCTGGGCCGACTTTAATTATTCTGTCTACATCTTGGTTCAAGACCAACGTATCTGATTGTCTTAAAGTTTTACCTTCATCTATCTTTGTTTACTGATTAACTCGGCTGGTGATTAGTCCAACCATGGAGGGGGGTTATACAAAGGATGCAGTGAGCAGTAGACCATGGACTGCTGAGTTTCTGCCTGCACACCTGCATCTTGGTTGCATTCAGAAGTCAGCATCTTAATACAATATCCACAAAATGATTAATGAAACTTAAGCAAAAGCCAAATTAACTCCTTCCTTTATCAGCCCAGAAGACTTTATTTTCTGGACATTTACTTGTTTCGGTAAATACTGTGCTCTATACCATACTAGCTTTCCTAAAGTATTTCACAGGCAGGGCAACATATTGTTTCAGAAGACAAAGCTGAATACATTGGGTAAGTAATTTCTTTCTTTGCTTATTTTTTATCTTAGATATTTTTTTAACGCTTATTTCATTAAAATAGGATTCTAACCTCAGATCAGCCTGTCTTGTGTATCATACATCATGTCATAAATTACTAGAAAAGCCACTAGAATCACAGATGACACCAAGCTGAGTGGTGCAGTTGAAATGCCAGAATGAAAATCTTTTTAGTAGGGCCAGCTGTGACAGGACAAGGGGTAATGGTTTTAAACTGAAGCAGGGTAGGTTTAGACTGGATATAAGGAAGAAATTCTCTACAATGAGGGTGGTGAAACACTGGAACGGGTTGCCCAGAGAGGTGGTGGAGGCCCCATCCCTGGAAACATTCAAGGCCAGGTTGGATGGGGCTCTGAGCAACCTGATCTAGTTAGCAGTGTCCCTGCTCACTGCAAGGGGTTGGACTAGATGACCTCTAGGGGTCCCTTCCAACCCAAAATATTCTATGATTCGATGATTCTAAGAATTAACATCTTCTTTGTGTACAGTGTTAGTAAAAAGTCGCACTGTGGCTTTCTAAATTAACAAAAAGGAATTAGACTGCATTTGTTTCACATGAACATCTGGGAAAATATTGTTCTTGGTTTCAGTCACACAGGGATGAAGGATTTTTTAAATCTTTTTTCCCAACCTTCCTTTTGTCTTCTGTCTGTCCCAACTTTCTAAGGAATAGAGAGCAGCTGATATTTAAGCTGCCTGCTTCTGCCTGCTAATGACCTCTGTTGAGATTGTTTGGAGAAACCACATTCCAGGAGAGTCTGAGATCTTCTTTCTTGAAAGCTCGCAATGATTTATGCTACTTTGATTCATGCGACTGTAATAAAAATAGCAGCTAAAGGCAAGGCTAAACCAAGAGTGGGAGAAGAGGCAATTCATGTTAGTGTTAACTTCTCCATCCTGGTGAAAGAGATGTGTGCTTATTTAGAGCAGCAGCTAGAGAATCACTACTCAGTTACAGTAGCTTTTCTCCTAAAGGAAGCAAGTGTATCGCTTACCTTCTTGTAAGCTCCTGCTGTCATTTTTTTAATGCCTTTCTCAGTTTTGGACTACAGTAGCTTCTCTCTCAAATTTCCTCTGTGGTTTGCTTTGGGGTGGGAATGGAGTACTGGGGGTGGAGCAAGTCTCTCTTATGGGAGAAGCAGCCTCTGACCTCAGTAGTGTGATTGGTACAGGTGAAGCATTAATCCACTGAGTATTTTTATAAACATAAAATTTAAGAACCAAACCAAAATCTGCTCCTTTCCAGCTGAGTGGCATATGTTTTCTTCAGAAGAGATTACAGTGGATTTGTTTGTTGTTGTATGGATTTTTATTATTTTTACTAAGAGTGTTTCATTCTATGCTATTCCTTCATAACGCATAATCTTGTTCTGTTTGCTCGATCTCCTCCCACACTGGAAAATGTTCAACAGTATAATCTGCCAGGACTACTGCCTTTAAGATCTGTTGATGGTCATGCTTAGCAACAGTGTTTGGAAGTTTGGTCTACATATTTTTGGTCATCTTGAAAACCGCTGGCTCATCTGATTTCATGTGCCAATAGCTATTAATATAAAAGAATGTGGTTGGTTAGGATTTTTTTTTTTATTATTTTTCATCAATCTGCTACATGCAGGAAAAAATTACCAAGCGTACTTGGAGAAAATAAGAGATTGCTCATAACTTTTAAATTGCTTTCTACACATCGATTGGTTTCTAATACAAATAAAATTAAAATATGCTACATTTTTGTTTTAAATGTCATCCTTAATGTCATGCATTTTCTAACTGAAACTAGAAAATATTGGGGTGTTACCAGTTACATTGCCTGGTTTGACTTTCTATGTTCATCGATGGCATAGCAGACTTTCATTATTGAGAAATGATGTGGCAGCAGACAACAGTCATCTAAAGAAAAGGCCATGAAATTATCTGAAATAATATTAGGGAGCAAATCTGATGTCCAGCATATCCCAGCATCTTTGACCGGAGATGACTTTCTAAATGCCCTCAGTTTCCAGTGGAATCTGCTGAAGGGAACAATACTTGGTCTCCAAGACAGATCCTCCAATTTATTTACTAGTATCTCTAGAATTGAAAGCTGACCATTTCAAAATGTTCTAACACACAGAGGCAGCTTGGGGCCTCTGGAAATCTCTGGAGCAGTTCTTAAGACGGCACACTTCCATAACTCCTGACCAAGCCCTGCTTAATCATTTGGCAGAGGTTAATAACCTCCTTAAGAAGGAGGCAATCACTCATGAGGCTGTAGATCCCTGAAGGGTGGGAAGTGTCTGAGAAAAGCCTGCCATGCCAAACCAGTCCTGCAGTAATTTGTGTAAGAACTGTCTTGGATTTCCACTTTGGTTTTCAATTGCTATTGAGCTGTCCCTTCTTCCTCTGCTTTTCTGCATAACTCCTGGCAGTGGCTTGACTGAAAAATAAGCTCTTGGGAATTACCTGTATACGGTGGTATTGTTTTCCTTAAGTTCTCAGGTGTTGGTGGTCTACAAGTTCCTTTCCTTTGTTCTTTGTGCATGCAGCTGGGAGGTAAACAGGAGATGGCAAAGGATTTAGGGCCATGATGCCTGTCTGTGCTCTCAAGGCATTCTGCTTTTTCTCTGAGAGGAAAAACAGATGCCCAAGTGACAGAGAACAGAGTCATCCTCCAACAGCTCGGCTTCTTAGCTTAAGCTTTTTGGCACACCAGTTTGAGGCAGGAGCAGCAGAGATGGTCCACAAAAGGGGACATGGTAGCATGAGGATGAAGTGACAGTGATGACAGTAGGGCAGGACTATGGGCCAGGCTCAGTAGGAACAAAATAGCAGAAGCTATAGGGTTACACCACAACACCGGACATTGGGCATATCATCAAATGGCTTTCATCACTGTCTGGGTTGTAACAGCAGTAAATTCGTTATACCTTTGACAAAAAATTCTTCTCCTTTTGCTGTTGTACAGGAAGATCTGTGCAGGAGACTATTTCCTAGATCCCACTCATTTTCTTGATAGCATGAAGACTTTGCCAAGTGCTACCATGAGTCCTGCCTCAGCCAAACCGTGTTGATCTAAGGAAGACATAGCCCTGAATAAAGACGTCAAGAACAACGTCAACACTGTGACCCCGCCGAATGAAATCAGTGCGCAGTCAAAGTCAGGGCGAACGTTGCTTCTGGCTTGGGCGGGGTGGGACAGGACAGGCAGAAGCCGTGTAAAAGATTTTGTTCCCAAATTGCTACTTTCTTGCAGATTTTCAGCTGATCTAAAATGATAATAACTTTGCTACAGTGAAGTTACACATCTTGGTGACGGAAATTGAATCTCTTATCCTTTGATTGTCAGGCTGTGCCTATTTGTGGACTTAATTCAGGGTCTGGTTAACAGTTTTGCTAATGTGACATCTCTCAAAGTACAGAAGTTTGAACTGTTTCTTCTAATTGTTTTTCTTTCAAAATGGTTTCATCCACAGTCACTTATTTATGAAAGAAGCATTACTTAAGAAAAAAATTTAAACTTTACCTTTGTGCTCTCATGAAAGCTACAGATTGTAAAAGTTCTACTAGACTCAAGGAGCATTGCCATTCTTAGGAGCACAAAGTGAGAAACAAGATGAGTCTCCCATGTGTGAAGAGAAGGTCAGCAAAAGATGGGAGACTCAGCAGTCATGCTTGAACACCTATAGCAAAAAATTAATATTTAACTTTACTCCAGTGTTCCCACAGTGCTCCTACATTCAAGGGAAGTGCCATTGGGATGAGAAAAACATTTAATCTTTAAAGAAAGTTTGATATCTTTTAATCTTTAATCTTCATCAGGCCTCATTAGTTATTTGATCAACTAGGAAACTGAGTTGCACCAAAAAAAGATGGATAAGAACACATATAAATTATTCAGGGCTCCTAAACCAAGCATATTTTATGAAGGAAAGCAAACCTTTGGGGACATTTGGGGAGGGCAGATTGTTTTAAACTGGCCAATGACCCACGTTTTAACAAGATAAATTTGTGATCAAATGTTTTCGGCCAGTGTCACGTGGAGGAGATTTGCTCTACCCTGAGAACTTGGCTTTAACTCATAGGATTTTGAGGAAGTTTTCTTTGGAAGTGTTTTAGAATGCGTGCGGTGGGGGGAGGGAAGAAGAAATACATTTCTTTTGAGACAGACACCAGAAAGAAGTCATTGTTCTAAGTAAGCGTTGTTACAAGTCAGCAGGACCAAAGAATTGAGACAGTCACTGCAGTCCTAGCTACTGCGTTTCCCTTCCCCATCTCTGAGGACCTCAGCCACAGAGGGGTGTGATGTGTGCACAAGGCTGATTTATCAATGCAGCTATGCAGTTACATAATTTTTCTCAGCTGCCAGCATACTTGGATCCTGCCCTGCGAGCACCAGAGTGGGAAGCTTTTACAGTCATGTTTTGTGGACTGCCTTATACAAAAGTGTTCCAAGAACAGGGTGTTCAAAACTCAATCCCCATGCATGCTAGTGGCTTCTACCCAGAAGCCAAGTGAGGTTAATAGCTAAAGAAGCTGCATTATTTGCTGCAGCAGCAATGTCATCTCTAGCTGATGAGCTAAAGCTCTTTTGTTTATCCTCACATTAACATTAAACTCCTGAGGCTGGCGTTCTTGAGTATCGTTTTCTCTCTATTCTCTCATGTTCCTCAGCAGATAGATAGTTTTCAGATGGATGTGATTTGAGGAAACAAATAGTAATGAGGTAAAGTTCTTCCTAGGATGAGAGCAAAATTTAGGGACAGGCATACCTGTGTGGGATGCTCCAGCTGTAGTAGAACATGTTTCCATGGGCAGAGTGTCTCTTTCTTTCCTAAGATAACTTTGATAACATAATGCAGAATTACAATTTAAGATAAATGAAAAATTATAAACTCAGAGTTCAGGAAAGATTCAGAATCTATAACCAAAGAGAGTGGCCGCACATTGATCCATTAAAAAGGTATGGAACAGTGAAAAGTTACAAAATTCCACTAGTATGTGGTTCCTGGACTGGAAGATAAAACAAAGCAATATAGTTGTTCTTTGTGCCCTTTATGCCTTGCATGCTAATTATCTTATCTGTGTCTCTGGTGCCATGTACATTACAAAAGGTGTTCTCTCCTCTTGTTTTCAGGGAATGATATTTGAGGATGCCAGCTCCCTGGCGAATATGCTGCAACAAAACCTCCAAAACTAAGAACAGAAAAGCTGAAATGGACAATATGGCAGACACAAGTGGGAAAATGCAGATGAAAAAAGAAATCACGTTACTAAATGGAGTTTCTTTAATCGTAGGGAACATGATTGGCTCTGGGATATTTGTATCACCCAGAGGTGTTTTAATGTACAGTGCTTCCTATGGACTCTCCCTAGTCATCTGGGCACTTGGTGGAATGTTTTCACTGTTTGGAGCTTTGTGTTACGCTGAATTGGGAACTTCGATCGTTAAATCTGGAGCTAGTTATGCCTATATCCTGGAAGCATTTGGTGCCTTTGTGGCTTTCATCAGACTGTGGTCTTCCTTGCTAATTATTGAACCAACAACCCAGGCAGTGATAGCAATCACGTTTGCTAACTATATTGTTCAACCAATTTTTCCTCATTGTGAGCCGCCATACGATGCAGTCAGGCTGATTGCAGCTGCTTGTATTTGTAAGTAAAGTTATGATTCCTAGAAGTTCAGAACTATAATGGTAGGTTCCCAGAGGATTTTTCTGAATTCCTATTGCTTCATCTTCTGTGAAGATTATTACTGCCTCTCTAAGGCATGTTCTTAGGAACTAATAATCTTTTATTTAGCTGGATTTTATTCCAGGGGCTAGGATCATTGGATGGGAGAGAAGAATTATAACAGTTTGTCTATTATGACTGCTGATTAAAGACAGGTATATCTTCATGGGTCATCGCCCTAATTCTCAGCCCACATTTGGTCCAGGTCCCCTCTCTCCTATTTTTTGCAAGTCTCCAAACATGAACAAAAATTTTCACATTCAAATGGAATTACAAATACTCTGCCTAATACAAATTTTGTCTCTAGAAACATGGTGTAGTGTAATGAGACACTCCGCAGAGTTGACTTTGTCAGGACGGTCTTAGCTGACCACAGGGATAAGTGTTACAAATCTCTCCTCCAGTAGATGAACTGCACTCAGGTTCTTTTCCTTATAAATGTGAAGTTATCAAGGTGGAGTATGTGTTACTTTTAGGCTGTGCTATAGCATGACCTTTTAAAAAAGGCTTAAATTCTACGACTCGACAAAAGCTTTGCAAAGGATAAGTAATTTTAACTTGGGAGAATATAATGGATGCTGACAATTCTGAGAAGGTGTTATCCCTGTAGCCCTGACTCTTGCCACTGTGGTGCAGAGGAAATTCACTTCTGAAGAAGGCTCCATGGTAGGACTTGAGACCATCATGATCACTCAGCAGTCTAAAAGGCAACTAACCCTATTCCAAAAGACTTTGTCAGGGGAAATTCTCCACTTGCACAGGAAAGCAGTATTTATTAGATCAAAATTTCTTTTCCCGGTCTCCTAGGGGCACCTCATGAAATCCCAAAGCTTAAGAGAAGCAGTCTTCAAATGCAGATGTTTCTTTAACCCTTCATTTTCTCAGTTATTCTTGCTGAGGTCTTCATGCTGATCAGTTGTGTGCTCTAGCACCTCTGGTTTCTGAGCTGATGCCCCAGGCGTGGCTGGCAGCTGCTGCTTTCCCAGACAGCAAGTTACTTGCCTCACCACTGATTAGGTTTAGTATTTTGAGTAACAGCCCAGATTGCAGGAAAAATTACAGTGCTTTATATTAACTGTGCTGTGCAATTCAGCAGTGTCCGATAGAAAATTCGTTCCTAGCTTGAACAATCTGGATAAGGCTCAGGAGCTTGGATTTCACTGGCACTTCATGAATATAGAAGAGAGAACCAATCTAAATATCTACATTAACTAGAATTTTCTGGGAATTCCATGGCAAGATCCCATTGCCTTGAATTTAATTACAGTCTGCGGCACCTGATATGTGTTATGTATCATATGCACATGCAGTAAATGTGTCCTTTGCAGTGTTTCAAATAGCACTTTATAGCATCACAAAGGACACCTAAAAGTTCAATATTAGAAACTTCAGTCAGCACTTATACATTGGCATTTTAATAGGAAATAGTGGGGGTAAATCACATCCTGTTTCTGTAAATAGGTCTGTTATTGCCTTGACAGCTGACAGGACACTCTGTCAAATATGCAGAGTAACTCGTGATGATGAAGGCGAGAAGTTCTGTGAGCATCTGTGGCTGGATGCTGATTATTTCCCTACTATATGGCAAGGTTTCTAAATGGTTTTCATTTTAAGCATTGAAAATTTTCTTTCCTTTCAAAACTGAAGTGTAGATTATAGAATTATAGAACTGTTTAGGTTGGAAAAGACCTTTAAGATCATCAGGTCCAACTGTTAACCTAACCCTGACATCCCACCACTAAACCATCTCCCAAGCATCTTGTCTATCTGGCTTTTAAATGCCTCCAGGGATGGGGACTCGACCACTTCCCTGGGCAGCCCATTCCAGTGCTTAACAACTCTTATCAGTGAAAAAATTTTTCCTAATGTCTAAACTAAACCTGCCCTGGCACAACTTGAGGCCATTTCCTCTCGTTCTATTGCCCATTACCAGGGAGAAGAGGCCGACCCCCACCTCGTTACAGCCTCCTGTCAGGCAGTTGTAGAGGGCTGATACAAGCCAGGATGCCATTGGCCCTCTTGGCCACCTGGGCACACTGCTGGCTCATATTCAGCTGGCTGTCAACCAGTAGCCCCAGGTCTTTTTCCACCAGCCAGCTCTCCAGCCACTCATCCCCAAGCCTGTAGCGTTGCATGGGGTTGTTGTGACCCAAGCATAGGACCCAGCACTTGGCCTTGTTGAACCTCACACAGTTGGCCTTGGCCCATCGATCCAGCCTGTCCAGATCCCTCTGCAGAGCCCTCCTCCCCTCAAGCAGATCAACACTCCCACTCAGTTTGGTGTCATCTGCAAACTTGCTGAGGTCATTGATAATGGTATTAAACAGAACTGGCCCCAAAACTGAGCCTTAAGCAACACTACTTGTGACTGGTCACCAACTGGATTTAACTCTGTTGACCACAACTCTCTGGGCTTGGCCATCCAGCCAGTTTTTTACCCAGTGAATTGCATGCCTGTCTAAGCCATGAGCCGCCAGCTTCTCTAGGAGAAAGCTGTGGGAGACCATGCAAAAGCCTTTGCTGAAGTCCAAGTAGATAACAACCACAGCCTTTCCCTCATCCACCAGGTGGGTCACCTGGTCATAGAAGGAGATCAGGTTGTTTAGGCAAGACCTGCTTTTCATGAACCCATGCTGGCTGGGTCTGATCCCCTGATTGTCCTGCACATGCCTGGTGGGCACACTCAGGATGAACCTGGTCATAGAAGGAGATCAGGTTGTTTAGGCAAGACCTGCTTTTCATGAACCCATGCTGGCTGGGTCTGATCCCCTGATTGTCCTGCACATGCCTGGTGGGCACACTCAGGATGAACCACTGCATAACTTTCCCCAGTACCGAGGTCAGGCTGACTGGTCTGGAGTTCCCCGGATCCTCCTTCCAACCCTTCTTGTAGATGGGCATCATATTTTCCAACCTCCAGTCATCTGGGAACTCCCCTGTTAATCAGGACTGCTGATAAATGATGGAGAGTAGCTTGGTAATCCCCACCAGCTCCTTCAGCACTCTTGGGTGGATCCCATCCGGCCCCATAGACTTGTGGATATCCAGGTGGCATAGCACGTCGTAAACTGCTTCCTCCTGGATTATGGGGGGTTTATTTCACTCTCTATCCCTGTCTTCCAGCTCAGGTGGCTGCATACCCTGAGGATAACTGGCCAGACTATTAAAGACTGAGACAAAGAAGACATTAAGTATCTCAGCTTTTTCCTCATCCTTGGTGGCAATGTTCCCCCTTGCATCCAATAGAGGATGGAGGTTCTCCCTGGCTCTCTTTTTACTGTTAATGTATTTATAAAAACATTTTTTATTATATCTTACAATAGTGGCCCAATTGAGCTCAAGCTGGGCTTTTGCCTGCCTAATTTTCTCTCTATATCTCTAGTACTCCCTGTACTCTTCTTGAGTGGCCTGCCCCTTCTTCCAAAAATGGTAAACTCTCCTTTTCTTCCAGAGTGTCAGTAAAAGACCCCTGTTCATCCAGGCTGGTCGTCTTCCCCGCCTAGTCATCTTATGGTACATGGGGACAGCCTGCTCCTACACCTTTAAAACTTCCTTCTTGAAGAGCACCCAACCTTCCTGGACCCCTTTGCCCTTCAGTACTGCCTCCCAAGGGACTCTCTAAACCAGTGTTCTGAACAAAGTCTAACAGGCCAAAGTCTAACCTCTGGAAATCCCTGGTGATGGTTTTGCTGACCCCCTTCCTTACTTCACCAGGAATCGAGAACTCTATAATTTCATGGCCACTAAGGGGTCCAGGAACCTCCTAACTGTTTCCTCTCTGTTGTGTTGTATTTCCAGCAGACGTCCAGTAAGTTGAAGTTCCCCGTGAGAGCAAGGGCTTGTGATTGAGAGACTTCTGCCAGCCGCTTGTAGAATACTTCATTGACCTCCTCAACCTGGTCGGGTTGTCTATAACAGACACCCAGCAGGATATTGGCCTTGTTGGCCTTCCCCCTCATCCTAACCCATAAGCACTCAGCGTCATCATCATGATTGTTGAGCTCTGTACAAACAAAACACTCTGTAATACACAGAGCCACCGCACCGCCTCTCCTTCGTTGCCTATCCCTTCTGAAGAGCTTATAGCCATCCACTGCAGCACTCCACTCCAATAATTATAGGCAGGACAAAGAAACAGAAGGGAAGACCAACAGGACTCCTAGAGAAGAAATAGCCCATTCTGATGCACGCTTGAGAGCACTCTCGACCGCCCATACCGCATTTGGCCTGCTGTCTTCTCCAGCAGACAGGCTTCGTACCTGGTACCCTTTCCTTTCCTCATCTACCTCTCTTTTGAATTATGGAGTTGCGAGGGAGAAGTTGCCCAGGATGCCCTGCGTGTGTCTGCTAGAGCGGGAGGGGGCGGGCACGCGGCTCGGCCCCTGGCTGGACCTGCCGCCAGCGGAGCAGCAGCGCGCATCACAGCGCGTTATCCCCTCATCAGGGCCTAACTTCTGCAACCAAGCTGAACGCAAAGAGTATCACAGAAGGAGGAAAGGAGAATTAATCGATCCCACCCACTCTCTGCAACCACACTACTTTCTTATTTCTCTTCGATTCTGTCACAACTGGGGCTTGAGAGAAAGAACTCTCTAAGTAAGTACTTCTGTAGTCTGCAGACCTGGGGTCAAAACGCAAATGGTGCAGCTACTGAGCCATGGGCACAGAGTAACAGCACGCTGGCCTGGCTCGGTGCAGTATCTTGTCAACCGCATCCAAACTTTTTGGTGCAGAAGCTGTCCTTATTCTCTACATAGACTCGAGCTCAAATTGGCAGGGACGAATGCAGGAAAAAATTCAGTGCAAATAAAAGACTTAGAGAAATCTCACCTCCTGCGTGTGAGCAACTCTGCTGGCTTTAATAAAATTTAAAGATGACTTAAAAGCAGCAGGA